AATATCCACATGGTATGATATCCGGGTCGCCTCGTGGTTGGCGCAGTGTCAGGTCTCACCCCTTCCATCTACACTCTATTGGTAGCTCGGCGTTGGCTCCGGTTCCATGGAAAGTCATCTGTGTGGCAGAAATCTCCACAATAGGCGGAATGGATCTCTCAGCGGATTCTTTCAACGATTGAAAAGTCAGACCGGCTCAATGACCGGATGCGGCACACGCCGGGAAAAATATCACCAACAATTTCCTCCAAAAACCTTGTTTCCGATCTTTGGCCAGACTGAGTGAAGGCATCCGGTGAGATCGGTGATCACATTGCGGGTGTATCCGGTGAGATCGGTGATCACATTGCGGGTGTATCCGGTGAGATCGGTGATCACATTGCGGGTGTATCCGGTGAGATCGGTGATGACACCTCAGTATAGAGCCATGACACCCCAGTATAGAACCATGACACTCCAGTGTAGGGCCATGACACCCCAGTATAGAGCCATGACACCCCAGTATAGAGCCATGACACCCCAGTATAGAGCCATGACACCCCAGTATAGAGCCATGACACTCCAGTGTAGGGCCATGACACCCCAGTATAGAGCCATGACACCCCAGTATAGAGCCATGACACCCCAGTGTAGGGCCATGACACCCCAGTATAGAGCCATGACACCTCAGTGTAGGGCCATGGCACCCCAGTATAGAGCCATGACACCCCAGTATAGAGCCATGACACCCCAGTATAGAGCCATGACACCCCAGTATAGAGCCATGACACCCCAGTATAGAGTCATGACACCCCAGTATAGAGCCATGACACCCCAGTATAGATTCATGACATCCCAGTATAGAGCCATGACACCCCAGTATAGAGCCATGACACCCCAGTATAGAGCCATGACAACCCAGTATAGAGCCATGGCACCCCAGTATAGAGCCATGACACCCCAGTATAGAGCCATGACACCCCAGTATAGAGCCATGACACCCCAGTATAGAGCCATGACACCCCAGTGTAGAGCCATGACACCCCAGTATAGAGCCATGACACCCCAGTGTAGGGCCATGACACCCCAGTATAGAGCCATGACACCCCAGTATAGAGCCATGACACCCCAGTGTAGGGCCATGACACCCCAGTATAGAGCCATGACACCCCAGTATAGAGCCATGACACCCCAGTGTAGGGCCATGACACCCCAGTATAGAGCCATGACACCCCAGTATAGAGCCATGACACCCCAGTGTAGGGCCATGACACCCCAGTATAGAGCCATGACACCCCAGTATAGAGCCATGACACCCCAGTGTAGGGCCATGACACCCCAGTATAGAGCCATGACACCCCAGTATAGAGCCATGACACCCCAGTGTAGGGCCATGACACCCCAGTATAGAGCCATGACACCCCAGTGTAGGGCCATGACACCCCAGTATAGAGCCATGACACCCCAGTGTAGGGCCATGACACCCCAGTATAGAGCCATGACACCCCAGTATAGAGCCATGACACCCCAGTGTAGGGCCATGACACCCCAGTATAGAGCCATGACACCCCAGTGTAGGGCCATGACACCCCAGTATAGAGCCATGACACCCCAGTGTAGGGCCATGACACCCCAGTATAGAGCCATGACACCCCAGTGTAGGGCCATGACACCCCAGTATAGAGCCATGACACCCCAGTGTAGGGCCATGACACCCCAGTATAGAGCCATGACACCCCAGTGTAGGGCCATGACACCCCAGTATAGAGCCATGACACCCCAGTGTAGGGCCATGACACCCCAGTATAGAGCCATGACACCCCAGTGTAGGGCCATGACACCCCAGTATAGAGCCATGACACCCCAGTGTAGGGCCATGACACCCCAGTATAGAGCCATGACACCCCAGTGTAGGGCCATGACACCCCAGTATAGAGCCATGACACCCCAGTGTAGGGCCATGACACCCCAGTATAGAGCCATGACACCCCAGTGTAGGGCCATGACACCCCAGTATAGAGCCATGACACCCCAGTGTAGGGCCATGACACCCCAGTATAGAGCCATGACACCCCAGTGTAGGGCCATGACACCCCAGTATAGAGCCATGACACCCCAGTGTAGGGCCATGACACCCCAGTATAGAGCCATGACACCCCAGTGTAGGGCCATGACACCCCAGTATAGAGCCATGACACCCCAGTGTAGGGCCATGACACCCCAGTATAGAGCCATGACACCCCAGTGTAGGGCCATGACACCCCAGTATAGAGCCATGACACCCCAGTGTAGGGCCATGACACCCCAGTATAGAGCCATGACACCCCAGTGTAGGGCCATGACACCCCAGTATAGAGCCATGACACCCCAGTGTAGGGCCATGACACCCCAGTATAGAGCCATGACACCCCAGTGTAGGGCCATGACACCCCAGTATAGAGCCATGACACCCCAGTGTAGGGCCATGACACCCCAGTATAGAGCCATGACACCCCAGTGTAGGGCCATGACACCCCAGTATAGAGCCATGACACCCCAGTGTAGGGCCATGACACCCCAGTATAGAGCCATGACACCCCAGTGTAGGGCCATGACACCCCAGTATAGAGCCATGACACCCCAGTGTAGGGCCATGACACCCCAGTATAGAGCCATGACACCCCAGTGTAGGGCCATGACACCCCAGTATAGAGCCATGACACCCCAGTGTAGGGCCATGACACCCCAGTATAGAGCCATGACACCCCAGTGTAGGGCCATGACACCCCAGTATAGAGCCATGACACCCCAGTGTAGGGCCATGACACCCCAGTATAGAGCCATGACACCCCAGTGTAGGGCCATGACACCCCAGTATAGAGCCATGACACCCCAGTGTAGGGCCATGACACCCCAGTATAGAGCCATGACACCCCAGTGTAGGGCCATGACACCCCAGTATAGAGCCATGACACCCCAGTGTAGGGCCATGACACCCCAGTATAGAGCCATGACACCCCAGTGTAGGGCCATGACACCCCAGTATAGAGCCATGACACCCCAGTGTAGGGCCATGACACCCCAGTATAGAGCCATGACACCCCAGTGTAGGGCCATGACACCCCAGTATAGAGCCATGACACCCCAGTGTAGGGCCATGACACCCCAGTGTAGGGCCATGACACCCCAGTATAGAGCCATGACACCCCAGTGTAGATTCATGACACCCCAGTGTAGATTCATGACACCCCAGTACACAGTCTCTGATACACCCCAGAAGGGAACCCCTCCGGCGTCAGTCCTTACCTTCGGTCGGAGATGTTTTTAGCCGCCGGCACATGCCTTCCATGTCCCCATAATACTCCTTAATCTTGAGCACGGCCTCGGTCCCCCGCAGCTCCATGAGGGTGCGCAGTTCCTCCAGCGTGCAGCCGAATTCTGCCGCATGATTGGCCTCGTTTCTTTGGTTCTTGGAGTAGAAATCACTATTGCTCATGTCCCCCATGTTCAGGACTGTCACAGGGACCGAGGATCCCCAGAAATGCTGCTGCTCCTCACAATGCCGGACGGTGTCCCGCTGCGATCCAGATGTCTGCCTAGGTAGAGTGCAAGCTCCTTAGCCAAGCAACAGTCCACTGGCTGCTCAAATGCTTTCAAGGCTGCAAAACCCAATTCCTCCATTTAGCTTCTCCCATCAGACTGAAGTCCCGAAGCGTCTTCATCTCTCCGCTGCAAAACAAAGGCGAGAAAAGTGAGTCCCCCCTGACCCATTGTCCTGCCCGGTACACGGCTGCAGCCCCCGGCACACGCCGCAGCTAGATGAGACGCTTCATGTATATTGATGAGTACAGATACTGCCCATCAATCTTTCATTGGATAAGCATGTGCGGGCCCCGGAGAAACCATACACGGCCCTCTGCGGGGTCACCATCGGGACTCATTGTATGTAAAACACCCCAATCGTCTGACTGGACACGGAATACACATACAACTCAACCCAATCGGAGCGTGTCAACACTGACCACATGCTCTACACCAATCCATATCAACACACAGAGTGTGTCACCTGTACAATGTAACATGGAGAGGGTCACCTGTACAATGTAACATGGAGAGGGTCACCTGTACAATGTAACATGGAGAGGGTCACCTGTATAATGTAACATGGAGAGGGTCACCTGTAAAATGTAACATGGAGAGGGTCACCTGTACAATGTAACATGGAGAGGGTCACCTGTACAATGTAACATGGAGAGGGTCACCTGTACAATGTAACATGGAGAGGGTCACCTGTACAATGTAACATGGAGAGGGTCACCTGTACAATGTAACATGGAGAGGGTCACCTGTACAATGTAACATGGAGAGGGTCACCTGTACAATGTAACATGGAGAGGGTCACCTGTACAATGTAACATGGAGAGGGTCACCTGTACAATGTAACATGGAGAGGGTCACCTGTACAATGTAACATGGAGAGGGTCACCTGTACAATGTAACATGGAGAGGGTCACCTGTACAATGTAACATGGAGAGGGTCACCTGTACAATGTAACATGGAGAGGGTCACCTGTACAATGTAACATGGAGAGGGTCACCTGTACAATGTAACATGGAGAGGGTCACCTGTACAATGTAACATGGAGAGGGTCACCTGTACAATGTAACATGGAGAGGGTCACCTGTACAATGTAACATGGAGAGGGTCACCTGTACAATGTAACATGGAGAGGGTCACCT